CGAGAACATTATTTTGAATCTGTATACATTTTACTAAAGCAAGAACATATTTCAAATTTTGAATATTTTTAGAAATACATGTTTTTTAAATCACAAACAATTTTGGAGTATATCTGAAATTAATACAAATCAGAGTGAGAAAATAAATTAATTTCCAAACATTTTGAAAACTGGAAGACATCATTGTAATTCGAATATTTTTTGAAAATTTAACAAAAAAATCAAATTCTAAACTTTTTTAAAATATTTGAATTACGAAATAGGGTAAACATAAAAATAAATTTGGACGGAAAAACAAAATGGGCTGGCCCAGTCTTGGGCACCCTGTGCAAACTCTGACTATCTGACGCACGGAGAGAGAAATAGGCTTTTTGCAGCTACATGGGCAGGCAAGTAAGAGGGCTGGTTTAGCTGGGCTACAGCTTGTGCGGGCCTAGTACGAAATTATGTATTGCTAAAAATACAGACGGACGCACAAAAATTTTAACACCACCTCGAATATAAAAATAAATTTTGATGGTGAACAGATGAAAAAAAATCGAAGAAACGCACTTTGCTTTATTAGTAGGTATAGATAACTACATGATGAAACAATACCACTTCAATGCCAATGTCATGAAACAGTTGAAACATAACTCTGATATGATTGCTCATTTGACTAACTTGTTATTTAGAATCACCAATGATTTTAGAGGTGTAGGAAAACAAGCCTCTATGGTTTAAACTCAGTTAGCACAAGTTGCTAAATCTCAAAGAGAATTGCCTAATGAAATGAATGACAACATGAATGGTCACGCTATTAGAGTAGTAACTAGAGGAGGTACAATGACTCGGGAACCACTTTATCCTGAGGGACACCCTAACAAAATGAACAAGATTCACAAAGATTCAACACAGATGCACCTTGTCCTTCTAAAAAGAAAAAGAAAAAGAAAAAGAAAAATGGTGGAACTTTGCATATCTCTAGTGAGCCTGAAATAGATAAACCTCCTGGTAATGATAATGATAATGATATCTCTATATCTGATGTTGAAACTCAATCTGGTAATGAATATTCATCTAGCGATAATGAGAAAGATAATGAAGATGTTCATGAAAATACTCAACCAGGCAAAGATAAAGAACCAGATGATGATGTTGAGATAGAACCAACTGTTGATCTTGATAACTCACAACCCAAAAATAAAAGATATGATAAAAGAGACTTTGTTGCTAGAAAACATGGAAGAGAAAGAGAGCCATGGGTTCAAAAACCCATGCTCTTTCCACCTAAGTCAACTAAGAAAAATGATGATGAAGAATTTGAACGCTTTGCAGAAATAATTAGGCCCGTCTTTTTGCACACTCGTTTGACTGATATTTTAAAAATTGCCCCTTATGCAAAATATATGAAAGACATCATCACTAATAAGAGAAAAATAACGGAAGCTGAAATCTCCACTATGCTTGCTAATTATTTTTTTAAGGATGGAGTACCTAAAAAACTTGGAGATCCGGGGATACCTATGATACCTTGCTCAATAAAAAGAAATTATGTTAAGACTGCTTTATGTGACTTGGGAGCTGGTGTTAGTATCATGCCTTTCTCTTTATACAAAAGAGTTGATTTGAATAAGCTCACACCTACTGAAATATTTTTGCAAATGACTGACAAATAAACTGCAAATGATTAGGCCTTGCTGGTGGAGGCGCACTCGAAAGCCTCGTCATCGCAGGTGCAGATCGGCGGGATCGACCTTGTATATTTTATTCACACTCAACACTCATCATTATATGTAACATGTCAAACTTTGATATTTTTTAAAGCATCAAGCATGTTTGCTATATTTATTATCGTGTGCCCCTCCCCCCTCCCTCGACCTCCCATACCATCGTTCTTGGAGCCGCCCAAGGGACACCGCAACCTATTGCCGCTCGCAACATTATCCCCCTCTCCAGCAAGGTTATGGTCTGGCTTCGCCCTGACCGACGCTCGGCGCCGTCGCTTCACAAGTTCTCACAACTTTGAGTCTCGCTATGAAAGCAACTGACGCCCGAAAAAATCCCAGTCACGTGAAATTTAGCAAACACCATGTAAATAAGATTCGCAGCCACAACGTAGTTTGTATTCAAAGATTGCGAACCAACGTGTGGTTGGATGGTCAGAGCATCTCCAGCCGCGCCCCCAACAAGGCCACCCAGGCGATTTTTCGGCCGCCAGCGCCAAAAAACTGGCCCAGTCGACCCCAAGGGCCCAGTTTTCGCCGGCTTGGGCCAAAATTGGAGCCGGCGGACCAAACCCGAACCCGGCGCGCTGGGGGGCGCTCGGGGGCGCCGGACGAATCATTTTTGGCGCGAAGAGCCACGGGCCCCCCTTGCCAGCGACTCGCCTCTCTTCTCGCCGCTTCGTCGTCCTCATTGCCTCGTTTCCCGCGACGAATCAATGCCAAAGCTGCGCGCGCTGCCGCGCTGGTCAGCCTTCATTGATGCCTCACGGGCGGCGCAGTGAAGGCCGGGCGACGCGCGTCCCCTTGCCCTCCACGCGTAACGCGGCGGCCACGCGTACTACGCGGCGCCTCGGCCTATATAAGCCGACCCCCAGCGCGCCGGAGACAAGCACAGAGCCTCCACCGCCGACGCGCCCATTTCTCCCCTTCCTCCCTCCCCTCCTCTCGCCGTCTCCAGTTCAGAAGAATGGCCAAGCGCTTCCCAGGCGACGGCGCGGCGGCGAACGGCTTCGACCGCCGCTATCTTCATGAGGACGAGGATCGCCTCCTTTTCGAGGTCGAGTACCTGGTCCCGTCGGACATGCGGGTGCCCGGGGCATGGAGGATCAGCGCCGGCGGCGTGCCGGTGCCACCACCACCCACCGGGGCGGCGTGGCGTGCGGAGATCGCACGTATTAGCGCGTCCCTGCCGCGGGCGGCAAGGGAAGGCCCGCGGTACACCCCGACAGCCCGCTCTGGGAGCCCTACTTCCGCCGCCGCCACGCCGAACAGCTCAAGGCGACGAACGGCATCGAGCACTCCGACAGGCTCAACTCCGAGGGCCGGCGCTGGTGGTGGGGCGTGCCCGGCCGCACGTTGGAGGCCGTCCTCAAGTACATTGAGGGTGGCAACACGCCGCGCCTCAAGTACCCCGCTCCCCCGTCCTTCTCTCGATGGCGTGGGAGCACGTGGACGCCGAGGTGCATGGAGCGTCCCGGGGTGTCCTCCTCCTCGTCCGGCCGTTCGTCCGGCTCTTCCTGCCTCCGCCCCATCAAGC